TGTTTGTGTTGGTGTCCAAGAGGAAGGGAGGGGGAGAGACAGAAACACCGTGATGAGAGGGAATCACTGACCGGCTGCCCCTGCACGCCCCCCACTGGGGATGGAGCCCGCCACCCGGGCCTGTGTCTGTCCGGGAATCGAACTCTGACCTCCTGGTTCCTAGGTCGACGCTCAGCCGCGGAGCCAGGCCGGCCGGACATGAGCCTGGGGCCCCGGAGACAGTGCCAGAGGCGGGCAGGGCCGGCCGGGTCCCGTGGGCATCAGCAGGCCTGGAGGCCGGATCCAGCACAGGCATCGCCCGCCGGCTGTCCCTCCGCATCCTCCCCTCCTCCCGCTCCTTCCCCCACGGGCGCGGGGAGGGGGCGCTGCCGGCCCCTTTGTTCTCCCCGCAGCTGGGGCCTCTCCTCTGGGGACCGGAGCCTGCTTTCCCGCAGCCCCGCCCGCCGCTCTGACCGGCGGAGCCTGCCTAAGGGGCCCTGGGGGAGCGGCCGCGCACAGGGGCTCTGTGGCGCGGAGCGGTGGGAATTTGGGGGGGTTAGGGGGGAGGAGGAGCGTGGGGGCTTCGGGATTGCCCAGTGGATGGTGAGGGCCTTCCTGAGGGGGTGGCAGCGTCTTGGGGGCAGGAGGGCCACGGGGGCCCCAGCAGGAAGCCTGTGCTGCCTGGCACAGCCCCGGTGCCACGGCTCATTTCCGGGGCCTTTGGGCTCCTGTGGCCGTGACTCCGCAGTGACCAGTGGGGACCCCCACACCCCCCGGCTGCCCTGGGGGCGCCCCGGGACAAGCGAGGGGGGGTTCGCCGTCCTCCGGCTGCAGGAAGACGGGCCGTGTCTCCCCGCCCTCGTCCGTGGCCTGGACCGGGCAGGCCGGCGGCAGGAAGGCCCGTGGTCTTTGTGTTCGCCAGGGGCGGCCGTGCCCGCTGCCCAGAAAGCGCTCGGCCAGGCTAACGCTCCGAGGCCCACGCCGGGTGTGACCGGCCGGGGCCACCGAGCTAGAACGGCAGGCGTTTCCCTGACGACTCCTCCCAGGAACCCCAGAAAACTGGTTCTCGTCCACATTCCCCTCCCTCCCCTCTCCGGCTCTCCCTCCCTCCGTCCCTCCGTCCACCTCCCTCCCTCCCTCCGTCCCCCCTTCCCTCCCTGCCTCTCTCCATCCGTCCCTCCATCTCCCCTCCCTCCCTCCCTCCCTCCGTCTCCCCTCCCTCCCTCCGTCCCTCTCTCTCCCTCCCCCCTCAGTCCCTCCCTGTCCCCCTCCAGCCGACCTAATGAACCTGCCCAGTTCTCAGCAGCCCCACGTTGTCCACACGTATGTGGTCTGCATGTCGTAGACACAGCCATCCTGCTCTCCGCTTTTCCACAACGGCGGCTGCCATCGCCTTCCCGGGGTGGGCTGCACCGCCACCCCACCCCGGCCCCGGCCCCGGCCCCGGCCCCGGCCCTCCCCACGGCCCCTCCACCGGCCCCTCCACCGGCCCCTCCACCGGCCCCTCTGGCACAGCGACGCCGCGGGGGCCTCGCCGAGGGAGGCGCAGGGACCCTGTTCCACGGGCGGCCCCCCGCACGCCCTCCCCAGCTCCCTGCCGTTTCCAGCCTCGTCAGCTGTGAATCGGCCCGTGTGGTTTTATGTTGGTTCCATGCCTGTGTCTGCAGGAGGAATGGAAGCTGGGGGAAGTGGCCGAGGCCCGGGGCTGCTGTGTGGGCAGCTGGGCTCTGCCGCCCCCTCGGGCCCAGCTGGAGGGCCGGGCCTGGGCCCTCACCTGGCAGATTCGGGCCCGCGCCGCTCCCACCTGCGTGGGCGCCTCTTCCGCTGTGGCCGCGCGCCACCTGGTGGCCACTAGCAGGAACTGCAGCCGCGGAGGGGCAGGGAGGAAACCCGGGTGGCCTCGCTTTTGAGGCTCCGGTGGCTGTTTTTCACATTTAAATTTTAATTATTTCTGAGATGCACGTGACATACATAGTGACATTCGCTCCAGGCGCGCAGCGCGATGGTTTCCTCGCGAGGAGAATTTCCCCGCCCCCCCTCCCCGCACCCCCAAATGGACGCCCCCGGCTTCAGCCGCCGCCGCCGCGGAGGTGGCCTCTCTTCCGGAAGCTGCCGCGGTCTCCGTCCACCGGGAGGGACTTGGCGTGCGGTGGGAGTGCAGGGCCCGTGCTTCTTCCCTGTGGACATTTCACCACCGGTTTATTTTTCATTTCAGTTTAGGTTCGTCCTCCCCTGAGGGTATTTTCCCATGGGTTTTTAGAGAGAGCAGAAGGGAGGGGGGGAGACAGAGAGAAGCATCCATGTGCGAGACACACATCCAATGGTTGCCTCCTGCCACGCCCCAACCAAGGCTGCGGATCCAGCCTGCCATTGAGGTGCGTCCATTGACTGGATCGAACCCAGGACCCTTCAGTCCACCGTCTGACACTCTATCCACTGAGCCAACCCAGCGGAGGATGACTGATGATGTATTGAGAAGGTCTTTTCCCCACGAGCCACGGGCCACGGGCCACGGACTTCACCGGTACATGAGAGTCTACCTCTGATTCTGGCGGTCACCGTCTTAGAAGATGCAGTCTGACCACGCCACGCACAAGGTCACTGCCGAGCGTGGGAAATACGGCAGCGAGCTGCCTGCCCAGGCCCCCGGAACATTCCTTTCCCACCCTTCTCCGTGGATCGTGGGGCTCACCGTGGACTCCCGTGGCCGGAACCTCGGGAAGCTGAGTCGGGAGCCACACCTGAAAACCCTCTGCACCCCGCGGAGCACCGTGGCCCTACAGCTGGGGGGAGGGGGCCTCTCGTCCAACATCCTCTCCCCCTCCCCCTCCCCCAGCCGCTCTGGGCCCGGGCGGCCTGCCACCTGCTGGGCGGCCGAGCCCGGGGCCTGAGGGGTGTGCTTCCCACGGCCATACCCAACCCCCGCCCCCAGGGAAGCCGTGGCATTGAACTCAGCAGGGGCCGGGCGGACCTCCAGCTCAGTGACTCCGCCTTGTGGACGGGGTGTGTGTGGATGGGTGAGTGTGTGGAACCGGGGACGTGGCTTCCCGGACAGCCTCCCGGAGCCCCCGGCTGAGCCGGAGCGGCGTGCCAGGCGGGCCTGCCTCCGGGGCCACCTGCCTGGGCCCACATTCCGGCCGTCTCCGTGGGCGCTGTGGGCGGTGTGGGCAGTGGAGGCGGCCGGACCAGGTCAGGGAGGGTGCTGGGCGGGAGGGGCCCTCGGGCCTCTCTGCCTCCCTCAGAGCCCCCCTCCTCACGCCTGGCCTCCGCTGTGGGCCGGACTGCGCCCCCCAGAGGTTTGGCCGGAGCCCTGGCCCCGTGCTTCCACGACCTTGCAAACAGGGTCTCTGCAGAGTAACCAGGTGAAGGTCATGTGGGCGGGGACCGGCTCATCGGATTGGCCACGGACACCGGGCGGCGGGGCTGGGCGAGGGGCCCGGGCCCCTCTCTGGAGGCTTCAGGGGCCAGCCCCGCGGGCGCCTGCCGTGGGACGTCTGGCCCAGACCCGTTCCCCCCGCCCCTCCGGGTCCCTCTGTCAGCACCCGCCCCTCCCCGGTCACGTTCCGGCTTCCGCCGGCCGTGGCCTGACCACGGAGCCGCTGTGGTCGCTGACGGCATCTCCCCGCACCGGCCCGTCTGCACCCCGGCTCCTGCCCTCCTCTCTCTTGGCGCCCCCCGACCCCGTTTGTTCCAGGGACCCCGACAGTCACCCGGGCCAGGGTGCCTCTCCCCGTGCCCACACCAGCGCCACCCAGGGTACACGCCTCTAACTTCTCTCTTTAAAAAAATTCTATATCCCATCTAATAAGAGTGATATGCAGATTGACCATCACTCCAAGACACACAATGGCCGCCCCCATGTGGCCAAAGATGGCTGCCCCCTTGTGGACATAAGATGGCCACCGCAAGATGGCTGGCAGAGGAGGGCAGTTGTGGGCAGTTAGAGGTGACCAGACCAGCAGGAGAGGGCAGTTGGGGGGGACCAGGCCTGCAGGGGAAGGCAGTTGGGGGTGAACAGTCCAGCAGGGGAGGGCAGTATGAGGGAACACAGGCCTTCAGGGGAGGGCAGTACGAGGGGACACAGGCCTGAAGGGGAGGGCAGTTGGGGGAGACCAGACCTGCAGGGGAGGGCAGTTGTGGGTGACCAGGTCAGCAGGGGAGGGCAGTACGAGGGGACACAGGCCTGCAGGGGAGGGCAGCTGGGGGCATCCAGGCCTGCAGGGGAGGGCAGTTGGGGGGGACCAGGCCTCCAGGGGAGGGCAGTTGGGGGCGATCAGGGTCAGCAGGGGAGGGCAGTTGGGGCGATCAGGCCTGCAGGGGAGGGCAGTTGGGGTGATCAGGCCAGCAGGGGAGGGCAGTCGGGGGGGACCAGGCCTCCAGGGGAGGGCAGTCGGGGGGACCAGGCCTCCAGGGGAGGGCAGTTGGGGGACCCAGCACCGTCCCCACGGGCATGGCCACCCGCCTCTCAGCGGAGGGAACAGGGCGCGGGGCTGAGGGCAGTGACCACCGGGCGGCGGCTCCGGGCGGCGTGGCTGCGGGCCTGCGGGGCCTTCGGCTCTGCCCGGCCTCCGGCCTCCGGGACGCGGACGCAGAGCGCGCGAGGGGAGGACACGCCCACCGCCGGGCCTCCGCCCGGGACCGCGGGCTCGCCTCCGGGCTTCTCTCACCCCAGAAACCCTTGTCTCCGAGCCCTGATGGGCCTCCTCCCACTGCCCCCCCCGGCAGGCTCCCCCGACCCACCGAGAGCCGGTGCCCACAGAGCCTCGCAGCGCGGGTGGAGACCTGGGCGGGTGCGTGGGTCCCCACCAGCCCCCACCCCGCCCCCTGCAGCGGGGGCCCTGGGCCTCAGCCCGCGGAGGGAGGCAGAGGGCCTCAGAGCCGGAGGACAAAGGCCTGGGCACCGCCGTCCATGCAGCTGGGCCTTGTTTGCAGGTCAGCACCGTCCCAGGGGCCGGGCGTGGCAGAGCCCGCCGGGGGAGGCCCGGGGGGGCCCGGGGGGGCCCGGGGGTGCGGGGGGGGGCTCAGAGGGACACGGTGGGGTACGGGGCGAACACCTTCTTGGCGTCGATCTCCGACTCCACCATGTGGGGGTGGATGTCCACGGCCATGCCCACGTCCGTGCACAGCTTGAGCAGCGTGCGGATGTTGTTCTTGGACAGACGCAGGTACCTGTGCGGGCCGGGGTCAGGGGCCAGGGGTCAGGGGGCACGCGGAGCGAGGCCAGACCCCCCCCCCCCCGTGAGCCCCCCTGGAGCTGACAGGGAGCCTCCGAGCTGCTGGGAGGTTTGGGTGTTTGGTTTTTTTTCTTGTATTGTTATTGATGTCAGAGGGGGAGGGAGAGGGAGGGAGAAGCATCCATGATGAGAGTCACTCATCGGCGGCCTCCTGCACGCCCCATACTGGGGAGGGAGCCCGCACCCTGAGCGGGAATCGAACCCTGACCTCCTGGCTCACAGGTCTACGCTCAACCCCGGAGCCACAGCAGCCGGGTGAGTGGGTAACAAAGTCGTTTGGAAATCAATGTGGCGACATATGTACAAGCACCGCCCCAGCCATCCCCCCCTCCCCCCCCCCCGCAAAAGGTCATGTCCACCCGGACGGGGACCCGGGCAGGTGGGGGGTCTGGACAGGGACGGAGGAGCAGGTGGGGGGTCTGGGCGGGGACAGGCGGTGGGCCTGGGCGGGGATGGAGGAGGCAGGTGGGGGGTCTGGGTGGGGATGGAGGGGCAGGTGGGGGGCCTGGGCGGGGGCAGGTGGGGGGTCTGGGTGGGGATGGAGGGGCAGGTGGGGGGGCCTGGGCGGGGGCAGGTGGGGGGTCTGGGTGGGGATGGAGGGGCAGGTGGGGGGCCTGGGCGGGGGCAGGTGGGGGGTCTGGGCGGGGATGGAGGGGCAGGTGGGGGGTCTGGGTGGGGATGGAGGGGCAGGTGGGGGGCCTGGGCGGGGGCAGGTGGGGGGTCTGGGTGGGGATGGAGGGGCAGGTGGGGGGCCTGGGCGGGGGTAGGTGGGGGGTCTGGGTGGGGATGGAGGGGCAGGTGGGGGGCCTGGGCGGGGGCAGGTGGGGGGTCTGGGCGGGGATGGAGGAGGCAGGTGGGGGGTCTGGGCGGGGACAGGCGGTGGGCCTGGGCGGGGATGGAGGAGGCAGGTGGGGGGTCTGGGCGGGGATGGAGGGGCAGGTGGGGGGTCTGGGTGGGGATGGAGGGGCAGGTGGGGGGTCTGGGTGGGGATGGAGGGGCAGGTGGGGGGCCTGGGCGGGGGCAGGTGGGGGGTCTGGGCGGGGATGGAGGGGCAGGTGGGGGGCCTGGGCGGGGGGCAGGTGGGGGGTCTGGGTGGGGATGGAGGGCAGGTGGGGGGCCTGGGCGGGGGCAGGTGGGGGGTCTGGGTGGGGATGGAGGGCAGGTGGGGGGCCTGGGCGGGGGCAGGTGGGGGGTCTGGTCGGGGATGGAGGGGCAGGTGGGGGGCCTGGGCGGGGGCAGGTGGGGGGTCTGGGCGGGGATGGAGGGGCAGGTGGGGGGCCTGGGCGGGGGCAGGTGGGGGGTCTGGGTGGGGATGGAGGGCAGGTGGGGGGCCTGGGCGGGGGCAGGTGGGGGGTCTGGGTGGGGATGGAGGGCAGGTGGGGGGCCTGGGCGGGGGGCAGGTGGGGGGTCTGGGTGGGGATGGAGGAGGCAGGTGGGGGGTCTGGGCGGGGATGGAGGGGCAGGTGGGGGGCCTGGGCGGGGGTGCTCCGGGGCGCGGGCCTCACCGGCAGCTCAGCACCTCCTCGGGCTTGAGCGTCCGCACCATCTCCACCTTGGGCTCCACGCCCTTCTCCATGAGGCTCCTGATGCGGCGCTCGTAGGCCGAGTCGGGCAGCTTGCCCACCCACTCCCGCAGCAGCGTGGACTTGCGGGCGCCGAAGAGGGTGTCCTGCAGCGTGGGGTCCGTCATGCTCTGGTGGTGGAAGGACATCAGCCGCGGGGGCTCCGAGGTCAGCGAGTCCTTCATCTCCAGCTCTGAAACTGGCCGTCAGCCCCCCCCGCGGCTGGGTCAGTCTGGGCGGGGCACCGGCCGGAGGGGGCGGGGGCACGGGGGCCGGAGGGGGCGGGGGCACGGGGGCCGGAGGGGGCGGGGGCACGGGGGCCGGAGGGGGCGGGGGCACGGGGGCCGGAGGGGGAGGGGGCATGGGGGCCGGAGGGGGAGGGGGGCACAGGGGCCGGAGGGGGAGGGGAGGGGGAGGGGACACGAGGGCCAGAGGGGGAGGGGGTACGGGGGCCGGAGGGGGAGGGGGCACGGGGGCCGGAGGGGGAGAGGGAGGGGGCACAGGGGCCGAAGGGGGAAGGGGAGGGGGGGCACGGGGCCGAAGGGGGAGGGGGAGGGGGGGAACGGGGGCCAGAGGGGGAGGGGGACATGGGGGCCGGAGGGGGAGGGGGCACGGGGGCCGGAGGGGGAGGGGGCACGGGGGCCGGAGGGGGAGGGGGCACGGGGCCGGAGGGGGAGGGGGCACGGGGGCCGGAGGGGGAGAGGGAGGGGGGCACAGGGGACAGAGGGGGAGGGGGCACAAGGGCTGGAGTGGGAGGGGAGGGGGAGGGGGCACGGGGGCCAGAGGGGGAGGGGGCACGGGGGCCGGAGGGGGAGGGGGCACGGGGGCCGGAGGGGGAGGGGGGCACAGGGGCCGGAGGGGGAGGGGGCACGAGGGTTGGAGGGGGAGGGGGAGGGGGCACAGGGGACAGAGGGGGAGGGGGCACAAGGGCTGGAGTGGGAGGGGAGGGGGAGGGGACACGGGGGCCAGAGGGGGAGGGGGAGGGGATACGGGGCCTGGAGGGGGAGAGGGAAGGGGGCATAGGGGCTGAAGGGGGAAGGGGAGGGGGGGCACGGGGCCGAAGGGGGAGGGGGAGGGGGCCGGAGGGGGAGGGGGAGGGGTGAGGGAGGGGGGGCAAGGCCCAGGACTTCCCCTGACCCTTCCCCCAGGCCTTGCATGGCCTCCTCCTCAGCACGGGTCCAACCCTCCCCTTCCCCTCCCTCCTTCCGCCCCTCCTCCCCCTCCTCCTCTCCCCTCTGTCAGTATCCTCTCTCTCCAACTCCCCCCCCTCCCCCAGGCCGCCCTGAAAGCCTCACGGGGTCCAAGGGAGGGGCCAGGGCAGAGCAACTGGGAACCACTGATCAGCAGAGCTGGGCTTTGAAAGGACAGACGGAGGGAAAGGGGAGGAGAGGGTATTGTGGGCGGGAGGAGGGGCGGGTGCAGGGGGAGGAGGGGAGGGTATGGGGGAGGAGGGGCGGGTACAGAAGGTCAGAAAGTAGAAATACATGAACTGGCGTCTGATGTCGCCCAAGCGTGGGATTTGTACTGAATGAAATACTGTTGCGGTTAGAGCTTGGAGACCTGATTGATTGATTGATTGATTATTAAATTTACTCTTAAATATTTTACAGATTTTTTTTAACTTGGTGGATAATTTCTTCCCGTTTCCATTTCTAACTGGTGTGACTAATAGAGAGAGAGAGAAAAAAAAAAGACCGTTTTTTGTTTTTAAATATTTTTTTCTGGTGCACCAACCAGCATTGGTTTCTGACTAGACTTCCATGAGGTTTGCCGCGATGCGAATATATTAGGGAAAATGAAAGTATCTTCCTTCCACTATTTATTTATTTGTTATTTTAAAAATATAGTTGATTTCTTACAGAGAGGAAGGGAGAGGGATAGA